GGGAGAGGGAGCGGCGCACGCTGGGCTCGGGAGGCGGCTGCGGGGAGCGGCGCGGGGTCGCCGCGCTGGCGGGAGCGCAGCCCCGTCCCGGCCGCCGCGGGAGGCCGGAGGGAGGCGGGGGCCCCACGAGGAAGGCAAGGTACGAGCTTAACGGAGCGAGTCAGGAGCCGCGGGGGAGCCTGCGGGGCGTCCTCCCGCACGTCCCGGTGCTTTGTCACGGACGGATCATTTCACCCGACCGGGAGCTGCCTCAGCCGCTCCAAAAGCTGCAGTACGAGCTGCAGATCAGCGTCAGCAGAGCCCGGGAACGCGAGTTCGCGGTACCGGGGCTTCGGGCTTCGGAGCCTCCACGCTCCCCAGGCTCACGGGCACGGGTTTCTAGGTTTCTTCCTGCCCTGCACTGCTGTCTGCATCTGAAGCTTTGGCCAGGCTGGGATGAATGTGTCATTTTACCTGTGCAACACTGTCCCTCTCTGCAGTACAAAAAAAAAAAAAAAAAAAAAAATGCGATACAGAAGGAAAAACGTGGAGACAGGGAAAAGGTTTACGTGGGGACATAATCCAAAACCGTATTGAAAAATGGAAGCAATGTTAAACTACATAAGAAAAACAAAAAATAAAAATCTTGAAATTGTAATGTTATTTGAATAAATGTGCATCATGAACGATTCTGTTGGCTGGCTATATGCCTTTGAACTAAGTCTACAATAATTTGACTTTAGTATGTTGTAGTAATTAACACTTGATTCTTCAGCTTAGCGTCTGTGGTTTCATGTTGCAAGCAGCAGAATAAATTGTCTTGTATAACAGAAAGAGGCATCTTCTTTCCAGGCAGGGCAAAGATGCTGTAGCCATTACAGTGCTGGCCAGTATCTTGAAGCACCTGCATTCTTTTTTTTTCACTCTGCTACAGACTTCCTCAGTTAGGCAAGTTAAACCTTGATCATCTGAAGGTACCCAGTACCTACTAAGGATCTCCTTTCGTCTCCATTTGGAATATTTAATAAAGAATTACAGTATTTCTTCAAGCAAATTTTCAAGACAAAAATATTAAGGATTATGAGTGGCTTGGATATTTGGCAGTGAATGGAGTGGTGGGGGCTTGTTAGCTTTTCAAGAGTGTTGCCTTGATCAAGTAGCATGCATAATTTAAGTGCAGGCTATACTCAAGCTTAGCTCCTTAATAAACGAAATTATCAGTTTCTGATATAGTACTTCACCTTTTTAAAGTTAACTGTCATGCAAAAATTGCATGTTAAGATGGAACTACATCTTATAGCTGACTTTTTATCAGCCGCCAAGTAGGATTCCTAGTGGGGGCTGGAAAGCTGCCCATCAGAAAAGGACTTGGGGGTGCTGTTTGACAGCTGGCTGAAGGTGAGCCAGCAGTGTGCCCAGATGGCCAAGGCCAATGGTAGCTGGCTTGTATCAGCAATAGTCTGGGAGCAGGACCAGGGAAGTGACTGTCCCTCTGTACTTGGCACTGGTGAGGCGAGGCCACACCTCAAGTACTGTGTTCAGTTTTGAGCCCCTAACAAGAAGAAAGACATTGAGGCACTGGAGGGTGTCCAGAGAAGGGCAACGGAGCTGGTGAAGGGTCGACAGCACAAGTATTATAAAGAGTTGCTGAAGGAGTTGGAGTTGTTTAGCCTGGAGAAGAGGAAGCTGGGGGAGACCTTCTCACTCTCTAAAACTACCTGAACAGAGCTTGTGGGGTGGGAGTTGGCCTCCTCTCCCAGATAACAAGCGATAGGATGACAGTAAATGGCCTCAAGTTGCACCAAAGGAGGTTTAGATTGGATCTTGGGAAAATTTTCTTCACTGAAAGGATTGTCAAGCATTGGAACAAGCTGCCCAGGGAAGTGGTAGAGTCATTGTCCCTAGTAGTGTTCAAAAAACATGTAGATGGGGTACCTGGGGACATGGTTTAGTGGTGGGCCTGGCAATACTGGGTTACTGGTTGGACTCTGTGATCTTTGAGGTCTTTTCCAACTTCAGTGATTTTACTGTTGAAGACTTGCTTATAGCTAAAGTAAATTAGCTTTGATACACTTCTTAGACATCCCTCTCACTGCCTAAGCTTTCAAAGCATCAGACATAAAATAAGGCAGCTGGAGGACTTTCAAAGTGGCTACTGAAATCTGTGAGGGAGTTTGCCTAAGTAAAGTGAAAATTATTGGAGTTACTTCCCCTCCTTTTTTTTTTTAACTGAAATCCCTTACAATAGTATTTCCTCTCTTGCTTGTGAAATGTAAAGTGCAATAGCTTCTGCCTTGCTTTTTTGTGAGCTAGTTCAGCTGCACACAGTTGAGATCTGACTAGCACAGCTGTGTGCCTTTGAAACAAGATTGATTTCTTTTCCTACAAACTGCCAGAGATTAATGAATCCATTCTTTTTTACTTTCTGCACTTGTGCAGTTAACTTGCAATTCAGTTGTTTGTTCAAAAGTGGCAATAAGATTTCTAAACCCATAAATTAAAAGGGAAAGCTTGAGTTGACATGTGTAGTCCTCAGTGTGGAGTTTGAAATTGATATGCTGCTTAAAGGCCCAATAGAAGCAGGCTTTTCAAGAGCTGGAGTTCTGGGGGTTTGTGTGGGTGTTAACTTACAGGAATGCCTCACAGTTGTGATTAAGGAAATTTATGTTTATCACTGGTTTATGTATTATCTTACATTGCTACCTTATTTTTTCTAGGATAAATGGATGTATATGACTTTTCCCCTGACCTAAAGCGGTTCCATGTCTTGTTTGGTAAGTTTCTCTTTAAAAATTTTGGCTGTTGTACCTTGTTACCCAGTTATAGCTTAATATGAAAAGTTCTGGTGAAATATCTTGGTTGAAGGGATTTCCACAGTGCTGAGATGTTTAAACTTTGTTGTATCAATTTTGGTGAAGGAAACTGTTTAGTATCTCCTCTTCTGCCATGTATGTGTTTTATGCTGTTTCATAACCTCTTGTTTGACTGACTTGTAGCAGACTTTCTGAGCTCCTGCTTATAGGGGCTACTTTTAAATGTTCTCCCATTGCCATGTTTAATAAATTGCAGCAACTTCACAGACATTCACTTGTTTCTGTTCTCAAGGACTGTTCCTGTATTCTACGTACACCAGTTGAATCAATCAGACCAGAAGAGCTATCTCAGAGCAGCATCCATGAATGCCTGGTAAGAAGAAAACAGAAAATTCAACTGCCAAGGTTAAATACAAAGCCGGTACCTATTAAAAATAACCTAATTGGGGAGTATTTCTTAAACTGTTAACAGCAAAAATAACCAAAGTACTTCAGGGCTTCCACTTTGAAAGAAGGCTGTGGGTAACTAAGTGTTAATCTTGTGCCAGTTTAAAAACAACCACAGACACAAAAGAACAGTAACTCATACAACTAAGTCTCAGTAATGGTAAAAGCATCGAATTGAATGTTCTGATTTGATACTTAGCATTAATGCTATTTCTGCATTAAACATAAATTATTCAAAATTGCATAGTCATTTTGAGAACTGTTTTTTCTCACTGTTAGGCTGATTCTGATCTAGCCTGGATTCCCCCATCTACAGGAAGGAATGAAATGGTACTTTGCTCTTCTAATGTCTCTCATTATGAACTCCAGCTGGAAATAGGTAACATAAGTGTACCTTAAAATATTTCTTCTTCCTGTTAGCAATAGCTTATTGCTCACTGCAGTAAATATTAGATTTGGAAAATGTAGAACTACTCTTGTGTCTCTTTAGTTGAGAAAAGTGCCCAGAGCATTGCTCACGTTTCAGTAATCACTTATTTCAAGATATAAGACAAATCAACAATTACCTGAAATTTTCTCTTGATGTTTGTGCATGTGCATGTCAGTTTTCTAAATCTGTGGTACCTGACAATAAATACAGCGTTAAGTACATCATGTCTTGTGACTTGACTACCCAAGGTGATTGTTCCAAGGAAAACTGCCTTGAATACTACTGCACATGCACGTTTCTGTGAATATGCATGTGTTGGTCATTTAGATGTATAAGTGATACTGACAAATGTTTAAGAACTTTTAGTTGTTCTCAAAATAGCAGAGCTATGCTTCACTTTGCTGCAACTAATTTTGCAACTAGTTCTTGACATTCTTAAAGAAAAGGTCATGTTGCTATCAATTGTATTTTTAGAACTAGAAAATTATCTCTAAACACGAAGGAAATTATGTGATGGATCATTATATTTTCCAATGTTAATGTAGCCACTTGTGGTTTCAGGAAGGAGGTTCAACAATTTAACTTCAGTCTACCTTGCACGGCACACACCTACAGACATGCAAGTTGCTGTAAGGATCACAGACCTAGAAAATTGCTCTGAAGAGCATTTGAAAGCCTTACAGGTAAAGCAACAACATTTCTGCACAAGTCTGATGGAGACAGTGATGAATACATATGAGGTTACTGAACAGAGGTAGCCTTTTTTGTACTGGGTCATTTCAGTCAAGATTTTCTCCCAAAGGAGTAGAATATAATAAACACAAGGCATGTGTAAATTTGAGAGGTGCTTTCTGAAGAAAACACAAGTGTTTTAGAAATACTTCTGTAATTGTACAACTTCTTATTTGAAACATGTTCTGTACTCTGTGGTTAACACTGAAAGTCTGGACTATGAACAAAGTAGATTTACTTCAGACAAATGCAATTATGGGCAGGTTATTCACATTTCTGGTGGAGGCTATGCACATCACCTGCAGTCTTGTATAAATGCACACAGGAAACTGTTCTTTCTACTGATGTAGTTAATGCTCTTCATAAGACTGCTGTCTTGTGGTTAACACATCCACTTTCATTTAATTCCATAGAATGAGGTGGTTTTATCCCACTTTTTCCAGCATCCCAACATAATGACGTTTTGGACAGTGTTTACAGCTGGTAGCTGGCTTTGGGTCATCTCCCCATTCATGGCCTATGGTAAGAACTGTTAACTGCAATTTTGGAATAGGAAAAAGGGCTAGTACAAGTTGGACCACATGGTCCAGGAGAGCTTTTTCTTTAAGCATCTCCTGTCTTGTAGAAAAAACAAACCTTCCCAAACCACTTGTTTAGAGAAGACTGCTTTATATAATCTTCCTCCCCAGTGAAGACTAGTATTGAAACTTCATTAAATTCCACTTAGTCCTAGCACCCACCATATGAGGAATGGTAACTGGGAGATGTATTTGACTTTATACAACTGATTTTTGCCAACAGAAAACCTATCTATATCGAATAGAGGTTGAGCATAGACTTTCAGTTAACAGAAGCATGATGTGAGTGTGATCTTTGCCTGATAGATGCATCAGTTGCATCCATGTAATGACTGTTCTTGATGTACCATAGTCAGTATAAAGATGAGAACACCACTCTTGATGAATGTATATAATGAAGCAAGCACAGACAAGTAATTTAACAAGACTTGTTAGGCTTAGCTAGTTTTTTTTTTCCACTTTCAGGTTCAGCTAGACGCCTGCTGAAGACTTACTTTCCTGAAGGAATGAGTGAAGCTTTGATAGGGAACATTCTGCTTGGTGCAATCAGAGGATTAAACTACATGCACCAGAATGGATACATTCACAGGTAGGAGAATGACAATAGGTAAGAATCAGATTATGGCATCTCAGCTTAAGTATTGTCTCCTTCCTTTTTCTATATACCTTCTTGTGTCAGACAGCACAGAAGTATTTTTTTTTCCAATACAGCAGAACCAAGTTTGTAAAAGCTTAACAGGAGCTGTATTCATACATTATTTCAAGCCAGTTGTTATGGGGATAATACATCTGCCTGGCTTTGTCTCTTTGAAGTGGAAGAGAACCAGGGTTGTAGAACGGGCTTCCTTAGTTTACACCCTTTGCAGGGAAGAAGGGCCCTTCTCCAGTTTCTGGTGCTTTTTTTCTGATCATCTCTCCTCTCTCTTGGGACTGTATTAAAAAGACAACTCATACTGAGTGAAGGACTTCCATGAAAATAATCTGCTAAACAGAACTGCATGGTAACATCTCACTATAAGTTAATGAAATATGAAAGCCTTTGTACTCTAATAGTGCTTTGAGTAATTCTTATTTATGTTACAGGAATATTAAAGCTAGCCACATTTTGATTTCAGAGGATGGGCTGGTTTCTCTCTCTGGTCTAAACAACCTCTACAGTTTAGTTAACAATGGACAAAAGTCTAAGGTGGTATATGATTTCCCCCAGTTTAGTACATCTGTGCTTCCTTGGCTGAGTCCTGAACTACTGAGACAGGTTGGTGTAACACTTAATTTTTCCTCTTCAACGTTAGTGGCAGTACTCAACTTCTAACTTAAGTCTGCTTGTAGAAGTGCAATGGAAGATGTTGAACTGAAATATGTACTGAATTTTTAATTCTCCTAAAGAGAACCAGTTTTCAAGCTGTTGGTAAGGTGATGCTGTACTAAGTCTCTTTACTTGACCTTCCTGGAAACTACAACCATCAGATTCCTAACAAAACCTGAGGCTTCCCAATTTGATTGTTTCAATACCATGTAGATTACAGGGTATTAGAATCTCGTCTTGAAACAGACACTTGTATTTCTGTGGGCACTGCTCAGTGGCATCAGTGATCAGTAGTGTTTTCTTCCTGTCACAGGATTTGTCTGGGTATAACATGAAGTCTGACATTTACAGCGTGGGAATTACAGCGTGTGAATTAGCCAATGGACATGTTCCATTTCAGGATATGCCCCGCACTCAGGTATGATTCTAAACTCTTATTTCTACTTCAAAACATGCTGAGAATTTTTTTTGGTTTTACTCAGAGAAACCAATGCCGTTACTGTTGAAGTAATGTGGCTGCTTTTTTTACTTCAAATATGCATGCTTCTTTCTGGAACAAATAATCCTTCCATTCCTGGAGTTTCACAGCTTAGCCTGAATAACCCTTGTTGAACTCTCATACTGTTATCCCTTCCTACTAGATGCTGCTGCAAAAGCTGAAAGGTCCCACGTACTATCCTTGGGATATAAATACCTTTCCCCGGGGGGAATCCAGGATGAAGAATTCCCGATCGGGGGTCGATTCTGGAATTGGTGAGAGCATGACACGCACAATGACCAGTGAAAGACTACAGATTCCCTTTTCCAAAACATTTTCACCTGCTTTCCACAACTTGGTAGAACTTTGCTTGCAACAGGACCCTGAGAAAAGGTAACCTTCTAGTGAAAACTAATTTTTTGTCACTTTAATCTAAGACCAAGGATAGCCCACAGTTTAGGATACAGTAATTGCTTGAATGCTGTTAAAGTCAGAATTTCAGACCAGATGTACTATGTAAAACAATTCACTTATGTTTGGTTTTGTAATTTAAGAATTATCTTGTCTGATAAAGGAACCATGCTTTAAAGTCATTTGACCCCTGAATTTCATGTAATATGAATGTGCTTTGTAAAATGTAAAATTAATTTTCAAACAAGCACTTTGTCTAAGAAAAAAGCAGAAATCTGAAATATCCATTTTCAATCCTATGTCTCTTTTGAATGAGGCATTAAATTCCTTGTTAAACAGAAATGTGAAAAAGCCTTTAAAAATAGATTTCTTCAGTAGTGCTTTTACTACAAATTGAGGCATAGAATGTAGGATTTGTGTGGTTCTTTTCTCACTCTACACATTTGTCCCGTGGATGAAAAACCACAGGGCTTAAATTGACTTGTCAGTCTGGCCCATTTCCCAAAAGCAGTATTTTACTTTCCAAAACATAATTATATTGTTCATTTTATGATTCAGGCCTTCAGCAAGCAGTTTGCTTTCGCATACGTTCTTCAAACAGGTGAGTTTACTACATTTTGTAAAATGACACAGCTATAACCTAAATAAGCCACAGAAAGAGTTGGATTTCAAAAATAGTTAAGTTACCTGGAGCCAAAAAGCATCCTCTAACAGCATACCTGTTTCAGACTTCTTTTTTTTAACAAAATGGCATTGACAGAGTATAGGAGGCATAAGAATAATCCATTTACCCTTTGATAAAGTTGGTTTAACTAAAGTCAGCCTAACTAATAAGAATAATGATTAATATTCTTAATTTAAATCAGAGCTGCAAAGCTAATTTGTCTTGAAAGACTAATTCAACTTACTCTAGAGTGAGGAAAGTGAAATCTCTCATCCTGTTATGTTCAGTATTGTAACATGCAAAAACTTGGCTCTGATTTCACATGCTTCTAATGAAGTCAGTTGCAAGGTTTTGGAGACTTTTATATGCAGCCCTGTTTTAACTTTTTTTTCTTTATAGATAAAAGAACAAACACAGAATTCACTACTGTCTCTATTGCCACCTCCTATTCAAAATAACAAATCAGAGTTCTTGGCACTGCCCTCAACAGCAGTTGGGACTGGACTTGGACATATTACTGCAAATCAAGATGATACAGACTGGGAATTCTAAATAAATACCAAACAATCATACCTCTCCTGTGCTTCAGAGAAGGAAAATGTGATTTGTATTTGCTGCTTTAGTTTGTATGATTAAAATAGACAAGGTATACTTGAACATGCCCTGAAGTGGCCATATTTCATTAACTTCCTCTGTTGGCATCACGAAGTGCAGTGAGCCTCACTCTCTGACCGAAAGGAAAACTGTATATAGAGAATGGCTGAATGCTTACCTCTCTCTTTCAAAGTACTTCTTAACAAGAGAGTTCCTGCTGTAATCTTACTCTGTACTGTATTTTCAGCTCATATTGCTGTGGTCCACTTGCCTTTCTGAATTCAGACTTGGGTATTGTCTGTGATCTTACTTAAACAATCTGTTTGTCTTTTCATTATGACTCAAATCATTTTAGCAAGGAGAAATCCTCCACTTCCAAGTTGAAATCTGAGACTGCACAAATTACACATTGATTATGTGAATAAATGTTTGTCTCCTAAGACATTTTTTCTCACTTGACATGCTGTCATATTTGCCAAAAGTTAGCTATGCATCATTTTTCATGCAGTTTTAATGCTGCATGTTTCCCAAAGAAGTTAAGCTGCTTAAAATTGTGACTCATGTTCTTGCATTTGTCTATATTCATAGTACAAATTTGTGCTTTTGCATCTCCATTTATTGTCATGTCATTTTAGCAGTTAATCTGAGGACTTCTTACTATGCAAAGTAAGTCTCAAGTTATAGCAGGTACGGGTTAATTTTGAAGAATCAAATAATCTAAAGTTACTGTACATATTTTTATTTATACTGTATTCCTGTTCACCACCAGAATTTACCAGAACTTAATACTGTTGTCTTAAAAGAACAGGCAATATGCATTAAGCTTCACTGGCACTGCTGCTGGCAAACAAGCCTCTTCTGAAGGCACAGTTAAATTCCCTTGGATAGATTCAGCCATAATAAGCACCTAATACCCCCAAGGATCCTAGTGAATTTATCTGTTCTAAGTCAGATGAAAAGCTGTCTTTTTTCTCCCTACAATTCAGTAAGTTCTCATCTCTCACACTGTACCAGGCAACTCAAACTGAACAAAAGCAGCTTTCTTTTTTTAAAAAAAGCTGCATATTCTCATCATGTTGCAGCAAAAGTCGTGTCCCAAAGCCACTAGTGTTTTATTGATGGAAGTTATGACTGTAGTAAAAAAAGCATAAATAGGTATTGAATGGATATATTTTAAATTTTCAACATAAACAACATTCCACATTAAGTCTCCCAGTCTTCCATAGCTGAGTTGGTCTGTACCACTGTTTGCCAGCAGGTTTGCCCCAAGGCCTTGAAGGTGAAATGACCAACATGCAAAACTGAGAGAGACACAACATTCTAATTGACTACATAAAAGTATTAACAAAGAACTTGAGTCTATTCATTATGCTGTGAAGAGAGCTCTATATTTCTAAAACTAACATGTGAAACTTAAGATTAAAAACCTGTCAATAAACCTACCTTATCTGCCTCCATTTATTTCTGTAATTATTGTACTTCCATTTTCACCATAGTCCAGTCATACAAACAGCCTCTCGTTACTGCAGGAAAGAAATTTCACATTTATTTCAATCATTAGGTAAAATAATGGTTGTCTAAACTAGAAAATTACTCTCATCATAAAAATATGAATAACTTAATTGTGTACTCTTGGAGAAGATATTATTTTCATATAAACACTATGTTCTTAATTCTTAACCATGACAAATTTGGACTGTTTGCAAGTCAAATACATTAGATAGAATCTACAAGTAACTTTTGACTAACAGTACATGTAAAAACCAAGTCAAGTAATTGAGAACACACATAAAGTTGTACATATTTTAGTTACAGACCTCTGAATAAATATTAATACTCTTAAAAAAACCCCAAACCTGTAAAAGACTTCAGGCAACTTAACTGGCTAGTATTTGTAAGCTGCTCTGAAACAACAGTGCTCCCAACTCTATAAAAATGAACTTGGGTACTAATAACAATGTCAGCACAAAGTGATTTGAACAACCATGTGTTCCAGTGGAGTTACTTTAATGCTGTCTCTTTCTATGAAAAAAAATGAAAAACTTATTTCTGAATGCTGTTCCAATTCTGTACTGACATAACTTTTAAAGAAAAAAATTAAGTACAATTTTTTTAAGTTAAAAAGGTTACAAGGCTTTACTCGTAGAACTACAGCGTGTCAACAACTATAGTATTTTCAAACAAAGGCATTTAAGAGGCACTGTGGCTTCTAATAGCTCTTAAAATAATCAGAAATAGTAGAAATTGGTCCATGGGTTGTATTTGCTGAAAGGTTTGATATGATTTTTCTTGTTAACTGTGATACTTTCTGTTAAGGAATAATACAAAATAAATACTAGTATTAAAAAAAGTATAATCATATTGTTAAGAAGGTTTCAACTACCTGCCACTGAAAAGATTATCTTGGAAACAGTTCTACTGAAAAATCTGAAGGTTTTGCATACAGTTGGTGTTTTCAAAATCTGAGATTCATGATCTGTATTGCTAAGAGCCAAGCTGCAGAGACTTTCCATTCCAAGCTCACACAGCTTTAAGCACAATTATTTATTTATTTATTTATTTATTTATTTATTAGAGCACTTGTTTACACTCACACCAATGATGTGTTATGAGCATATGAACTAGAACTATACTTGGACTTGAAATTTTCAAGTATCTCACATTTAGGCTCAATGTAACATATTTTCAAAGAGGCTTATAAAACTAACACATTTGCAAAATCTCATGGGCAATGAAACAGAAGTTGAAATACTTGTGAAAACAACAGAAGTGGGTTTTTTTGCTGCCACCTTTCTTTATGCTAGCATTTAACATGTAAAACATCGAAATACCTGTAATAATAGAAAACTTAATTAACACTGTCATGAATATATGCTCAGTGGTGTTGAGCATATATTCTCACTGTCTTAGTCTGACACCACAGCAGTTTGTGAATTTCTGACTGAATGGCTTAACACAGAAAAAAAATGTGACTTACTCCAAATCAACCTGATCTGCTACACAACCTACTCACTTTAAAAAGTCTCAATGCAATAAATACCCACTGCAGAGAGAGCAATTTCTTCCACTCGATGCAGAAGTAATTTTTTTTTTTTAAGTTACCAGGTTTTACCTTATCTCTCTCTCTCTTCCCTTCCCCCCTCTTTTCTTCAAGTGCTATCAAAGCAGTTTTTAACCTAGAGGATGGGTAAAATCATGGGAAAGCATTTTCAAACCATTGTTCTGAATATCTCTGACAAGAGGCAGATACCTAAACATACCCTGCCTTTAATGCTAATAAGTAGCTTTCCTAAAGTATGTTAGGCTGTCTAATAAACCTCTAAAGCAATTAAGCTAGCTGTAATGACCTGTCCTGACAATGGCCATCCCTATCCTGTATGAATGAGGAAAAACTACTAAAATGCAGAAATAGTATACATCGAGCAAGAAAGACCTCAAAGGACTATGAGTAAGAACCCCATTTGATGTACCAGACAAGAAAAGACTTAATTAAAAAGAAAGCACTGAAAAATTGAGGTGGTCTACTAAAAACCTGCTAGCCGGATAACATTTGGTATTTAGCATAATTAAACCTATCCAGAAACTTGAGACAGGATGAAGGAGAGAATATTAGGTTTAAACAGGTTCCTGTAAAAACCTCCATCATTCCCAAATGAAAACAACTAATTCTACTCTATTAATATATTTCTTATCCAAAAGTCCCATTAAGTTCCTGAAAAATGGAGTGGTGGTTTTATTTTTACATATGATTACAGAACACACCATTACTACTGAATTTACCCACAAATCCAGATTCATGGAATTCCTTTGCCCCTTCATGAAATCCATCCGCAATAGAGGAGAATGGATTGCTGGCAGGATGTATATGCTTTCCTCTGTTTTGTCAAAATTTATATGATATATGGGTCAAGAGTGTCGATGCTAAGTTTATCTACTACAGTTTATTTTAAAAGTGTTTTTATTCTACATTCTGGTATCAATTATCTTTCTAGTTCTCATGTTTCATGCAGTCAAAAATATCCTTACAGGCAGATTTCCATTAGCCCATGTAAAGTCTAGGAAGTCAGCTACAGATGAGTTTTCTTTAAATGCTTTAACAGTTTGAGGTTGGTCTGCAGTAGCTGATGGAGCCATCCCAGACTGCCACCACTGTTTGAGAGCTGTCTGTATCCATCTGAAAAGCCGTGCTCTCTTCCACTTTACTGTACACAGCACAGGAAAGCTACGGGGAATTGTCTGAGCGAGGGAGGACTCTGCAACTTCCGAAGTTTGAAGAAAAGATTACCAAAAGTACGGAATTATTAAAGCAAGCAGTTTTGCTCGAGCGTGGGAACACAGGGGAAGCTCGTTCTCTGTGCCCGAGTTTCCCGGTGGGATCGCAGCCCCTGGAAGGGGCCGCTTCCCTCAGGCCGAGTCCGACCTGGCGGCGCGCGGGGAGGGCGGGAACGCTGCTGAGGGCTGAGGCGGAGCGGGGGCACCGGGAGCACGGAACATTAACAGCACCCAGGGAAAATACAGACTTTCTGCAAGTGTCTGCGGACTTACGGACCGATTTCATGCACTGCCGCACGGAGGAATGCAAGAGCACCTTTATCACCGCTGTGAGGAAGAAGGAAGAGGCAAGTACGGCTTAGGCTTAGCTACAGTGATGTACCTGATGGTTTTCTCTCATCTCCCAAAGCCTTCAGTCATTTCGGTTTAATTCTGCTGCAAATAAGCAAGCGAATAATTCTGACCTAACCATAAACCCCCTAAAGTTTACCTCAGCAATACCAAAATTACCTTAAAAAGACACTTTGCAAATTAACGACACCTGGCTGCGTATGGAGAAAGCTGCGTTGAGAGAGTAACATTTAAACCAAGTTGAAACCAACCAAATTTTAAGTAACTGTCTTTTAAGGAGCAAAATTAGAACACTTTGGCTTTGGAGGGCCCCTGGAGGCCCGCTGGGTCCAGCCTCTGGTGAGGCTGCACAGGGCTTTGTCCACCCAAGCCCGGGGCAGCCCCAGGGATGGAGCTCCCACAGCCCCTCCGTCCCCATCCCAAGCCCTCAGTCAAAACTCCCATGGCAGCTCGTGGTACATTTTCCTCGTGCTGCCTGTGACCACTTCTACTCATCTTTTCACTGCGCAGCTTTAAGAAGTGTCTGTCTGTCTGTCTTATTTGTAATCATCCATTAGGGGGTTAAAGACAGCAATCAAGATTCCCCACTTAATATTCTTCTTTTCAGGCTAAACATACACTCGTAGCCGATTAAATACACTTTACCTGCCACTTTTCAGGAGTTTACAGTACCATTTCTGGTTGTGCAAGACCGTCACAGCAGCAGGAATCTGATGGGAGGGAAAGCAAAGCTGTTTTTACAACACTGCCATAAATAAGGGGAAAAAAGTTTTCCCATAAACACCTGCTCAGACCTTGCATTTATACAAAATATTAACACTGGGGAAAAATTAGACTGATTTATTTTAAACAGACTAAACAACTCGAAACAGGACAAAGTACAGTAATTTCTAACTAGTTTAGAGCAATTGTTTAATTGTTTCATATATGTAAAAACAAGAAATTGGCACCAACATATCCGTAATTTTTTCATTAACACAAGTGCATTAAAAACAATGGTATGGAAATGCACAAAGGCATTTCAGTTAAGGCTTCTACAGATATTGCACGTTCTATAATTAAACATCTATTTCATAAACTCATTCTAAAACTTTCCGAGAAACTAAACAAAAAAGCTCAGTTAGACTCATATTCCACTGTGAGGCTTAATGGAATGAAAAATATCTTGTACTATAGATAATTAGTCATCAAACTGTTTATCATGCTTTTTATATGGCAACCTCAAACCTCATTAATTTAAATATGGGTATATTCAGATCCTCCCCAAAAGATACACTGGAAAGGCAAGACTGGATTGAAATGCTGATCACATTAAATTCATTAATCCAATCCATGCTCAACCATCTAAACAAACTACTGTATTTCACAATGACAATGAATCTGGCTCTTGGCTAGCATCGCTCTGTCCAAGGGATACTTGGAAGGCCAATTCCTAATATTAATGTCAGAAATCAAGCAATGATGTTATCCAAGTTTTTCCTGTACTGACGTGATGCCTTAGCACCCTTTTGCCTGATTTTGCCCATATTTTATGGGCAAAATTCTATTTCTTACCATACCAAGATGACAGAAGTGTCATGCAGCAAAGAGAAGCCATTATTAATCCCATCTTCAGGAGGCCAGTGATTCTGTAACTCAAACACACCACATCAGGAGGAAGTGTGGTGCCAACCTACACGAGAACACTTTGTGCCTCATCCTCCATCTCCTACAGCCAAATCATGACAAGAACATCCAGTGCACGACTGAGGGATAGCACACCCTGAATCTCTCCATCTTAATGTACCAGCCATAATTTCGCTCTACAGTTTTGCAAAACTACACACACAAGAGCCATAACAATTTACAAAAGCGTTAAGGGCTCCTTCCCATAACAAACTGAGTGCCCCAGAACACAGCCAACGGCTGTGGAACATCTTTTAATTCTTGCAGAACTCTTTTCCCTCACTGCCAGGATCATCACACAGCATTTAAATGATGTCATGAACACTGAACTTTTAACTTAAATTTGCTGGATGGACATACGAGAACTCAAGCCCTCGACAGGGCAGCAACGGCCCCAGTTATTCATGTTCCCATGTTTGTTTTGAAGCAACTCAGGTAACAGTAAAGAAAGTTAGCACTGAAAGCACAGAAAGCTCTTTGACATTTCAAGTCTTTCATCTGGCTACTCTTAACTTCACTACTATAAAAAGTTCAGTAATTCCCCAGAGAACTTTGACAACTGCACCCCCTTTATAACCACCCGTAGACATATATTAAATCAAATAATGCAGAATCAGTATGCATTAAATAACATATACAAACAGTTTTTGGGCTTTAGGTGATACTTTCTTGATAAATGGTTTTCAAACTAGCTGTTGTCTGTGTCTACTAAGGAGACTGTTTCATCCTTCAATATGTATTTATACATATCTGCAATGCTTTCATTTTGCCATTTTAATATAAAAGAAAAACAATGTTGGCTATCATCATCAAAACCCACCAACTGCCACTATTACTACTACATCACTGCACAGAAGGTGGGCTGCTGCAGAGTTTTTAGTTTGCTTTAATAATCATTTTCTTGTAATTTTAGGAAGAAGTTTCCCATTCCATCCTAACACAAAACAACAATCTGGGGGGAAATCAATCTCCATCAAAATAGGCAGAACATTTTCAACACCTGTGAAGTTCAAGTTTCTTTAGCAAGAGCAGTGAATAAACTGTTGTTCTTGCCATGCAAGATAAGGAAAAATCAGAACACTCTTCTTGTGAATGGCTTTGTAATAGTTATGCATCCTGACTGCTGAGAAATTAGAGGCCATGGATGTATCCTGTTGGCAACACAAAACAACTGTTTGATTAGAAGATGTATTTAGGTGTTTTCATTAACTGACCAAACTGTTGCGACATTAAAGCTTCTTTTTCTTGTCTCTAATCAACCTGAAAGAACTTGTTATCATCAAGATCTTTGTCAAGAGAACTAAAAAAAGATAAAAAAAAGTGTCCTCTTTTAGGGATTATTAAACAAAATCCCTGTCAATTCAATCCTTTATTCTAGTAAATACTTTTTATGACTCCCAAATGCAGATTATTTTATGTTTACCAACTTGGTGGATTTTATGTTTCCTAAGTCTTGTTTTGTTATCATCTTCTCTTCCTTAGACTACTTTTGTCTTATGACTTGTTTCAATCTCTAGAGGATATTTAACCAAGTCAGATAAGCTAACTGCTGTCAGCATTAGTAATAAAAGCAGGTTGTTGGAGAGTGTTACAACCATCAAAAAAGCTCTGAACACCTGATCTTCTGCAACCCTCTAGTGTCTTTGGCTATGTAGGTAGCAATATTTACAAAATAAACCTTGACTTTTTGCACTAGGAATAATCTGCTTTGTAAAATAAAAAGCAAAAGTATAAAAGTTTTCAATCACGTTTGGAAACTGTAACATACATAAAAAGATCAACATTAAATATATACAATACAAAAATACATTTTTTTTCTTTATGAAAATTATAATACATAGCTATAATACACAACATGTTGTGCCATCAGTCACAGCTACAGTAGTTGCAGGTTCTTGTTCCACACTTATGGCTGGACTCTGGGTATGACATCTCCCTGGGGAAATTCCTCAATTTCAGCATGAAACATCAATTCTAAATGAGAAAAAAAATAAATTCATTTTCTTTGAAAACTTTCACCTGAATACAATTCCATTACTCCTGAAAAGCACCCTGGGATTCCCCCAAGCCTCCTGTTTTTTGTCTCTATCATATCATTAACGACTCAGCAATGGCAAAGGCCACCACTGTCCTTAGAAAACTACTGCTGCCCCCCAAAATTAACAGGACTGGCGACAATGTTAGCAGGTGATCACATGTAGTACCACCCTGCATTCAACCTGGACACTGAAACAGAACTCTGAAGTACACTGAGGGATTGTTTTGAGAGTGTCAGACTTAGGAAGGAAGATTTCTGTTTAGAGACTCGTTCACGTACAGATGTATCTGCTCCGTGTTTCGGTGTTAAGCCAGAACCTGGCTCAGAAAGCATCATGCATGAATGACACTGCTCACAGCTGTATCATCCTCACAGCTCAGCCACGGCAAACAGCCCAAGGCCAGCAGTGAAGAGCTCCTGGTGGAGAAACTGGCTGGGCAAACTAAGCAGCTGATGAAGTAGCCCCTGTGGAGCTCTGTGCTGCTGAGGGTTCTCTTACATCTCTGCACTCCACACGTGTGCTTTGTCTTGCTACCTGCACATTCTTTGGATAGACCAGGCTGTGTTTGCCAACATCTGTCAACATGGTAAAGTTACACGGCCTGTACATGCAGCAATGTGGTTTATCCCCTCAAGTTTGAGATTCACATATTTTTGCTACCCCATCCTTAGCAAACTAGACTTTCTCTACTGTTTGGGTAAGTCCTAATGAATTTCTCTCTAGAAATTTCTGAAGCACTTTTCCAATCTTACTAGGCACATGTAAACATCAGAAAAGTTCATCAAAACTTCAGTAAAATTCTGCCACTGGACTGTTTGAATAAGTATTATTTGAAAAACGGGTTTAAAATACAATTTAAACATCTATTATAAATTTTACCATCAAGGACTGTAAAGGCTGCCACTTAGTTATTCATGTTTTCTTAACTCATTGAGTTATTAGAAATAAGCACAGTAATCTGGGACAGCTGAAATACAGACACCTGAACATTAAAATTCTAAAGCAATTTCAGGAAGCATGTTCAGTCTTCAGCTTCCCAAAAACAAATCTGTGTTTTAATTCATGGTTCTAGGGATACCTTATCACTTCTAAGTCAAAACTTGGGATTTTTATGAACAGCATACCTTCAAGTCACAGGCTGCATGCACTTGACAGGAAAGCTAAGTTATGATACACCTTTAGGATCCCAGTTGGAACACAAAAGGAAGAAGGCCTAGTCTCTAGCAAAGCTTCTCCTGTGAAAAGAACTTGCTTGCCCCTTCCTGCAGCCTGGACCAACACAAGTAGCCCTCTTTTGAAGTCCTGTTCTGCAAGCACCAATCTGACTTTTCAAAGCTTGGGAGTTCCCAAAACTACTGCAGTGTTCTACTGGAAATAATACTGAGCTTCAAACGCATTAAGCATTTGCAAAAGGAACGTTAATAACATTAGGGAATTTTCTAAAACACAAGTAGAATACATTTCAAATATTTAAAATACTGTTAAACTTATTTTTCCCTTCAATGAAAAAGAGACGTGCTCTCATGTTTCAAAATTCGTGTTGCTTCAGACATGACAAATAAGGCTTTTCTTTCCTTTTTAAATGAATGTTTATCCTTTATAAAACCAAACACAGACACCAGCATCCTA